CAATATACCACATCTATTTCCTAACACTAAAATTCAAAGAAATAAAATATTTAAAACTTATTTGCATTTGTCATGAAAGAAAATAATTAAAACTAGAGAACAAAGCTGATAAATATACAAACACCAAAATTTTTTTCAACAATGCTAAAACAAGGCAGCAAAATTGTCAAATGTACAGACAACAAGAGATAACTATACTGAAATGAGTTTTCAACACTTTTTTACACAAAACAAAATAATCAATTATCGGTCATTTTTATATGATCAATAAGACAATTGCTGAGATAGGAATAGTACAGAATGGTGATCTGCAGACAATACTGAGACATTCTGAACTGGTTTCCATGATTCATGCTCTGCAATAACTCACAATCTACCCATTAGAATGTTACACATTCTACATACAGTTTTTCATCTTACGGTAATGTACCATGAATTTCGAACAGCTCTTAAATGTGTAACAATTTAAAAATCAGTCGTCTGGAGTTTCTTATGGACCATGAATTTCGACCAGTAAGCAAGTTTGCGCAATCTTGATTTTCGTGAATTCCGTACACATTAAAATCGGCCATTGGGCTATTTTTGCGCTCATAAAGATCTAACAGTCGACAATGTTGCCCTAGCGTACCTTTACCTGAGTACTTTGTGTGTGGCCCCAGGCAAGATAATGATTGGTACAGTTAGCTTAGGATGCTAAACAACATCGTCATCACCATTCATTAAGATAACAGGAGAATCAATTATGAGTTGCACTGTCGTACTGTCAATTCTTTACCGGAGTACTCAGTGTGAGATAGCAATCGGTAGTTTTGCTGAGGCGAACAATAGCATTGTCAACAGTAGGCACTTCAGTAACAGAACAAAAGAAGCAATTAAAAACTGCAATAAAGATTACCACTATTGTTTTCTTGTCTCGCTCAGATCGTTCACGATCTCCGGCTTATGAAGTCCATTGAACAAATATGAAAACTACCTTCTTGTTTCGCTCAGATCGCTGTTGATATCCTGGTGACGATCTTCCGCTAACAAAGTCCTTGGAAGAAATAGGAAAATTGCCTTTCTGTCTTGCTTGGATTGCTAACAAATATGAAAATTGCCTTTTCGGTTTTGTCTAGATTATTATCACTCACGTGTTTGTTTGAAGATGGTTTAAATCATAAAATGTACATACTTTTCAAATTGGTGCAACTATGTGCCAGGAAATCAGTTGTGTTGTCGGACAGCTGCTGGTCAAGATTGGGTTGCCTGACCAAAAAAAAAGTGGTTGTAAAAGGCAACCACACAACCATGGATACCGAGCCCTGCACCTAGGGGTACCCCCCCCCCCAACGACCTACCGTAGTATATGTGATTGTAGACAACAATCAGCAGTTATCTTGGTTGCAGTGCACGGTGGAGAGAGACCATAATACACAGTTTGACTGCTGTGGTAAAGGCTACAGTACCTGTGCGCTGTACATATCAATCTGCGGTTGTAGTTGCCTCCCTGCACAGCAGAGAGAGGCCATAATGCCGAGGCCAGCTAGTTTCGCTTTTGAAAAAGGACACTACTGATAATGATGCTGTTTTGTGTCCCTAGCCAACAGTAACACTTGTTATCTAGCACCTTCAGCCGTACAGAGTGATCGTGTGAAAGTATGTGTATCCCTTGGGTCGCAATTACCGACAATCACCCATCATTCATCATGGTAACTCTAAATAGATCGTTGAAAGAAGGTAACATAAGGCCTAGTGACGAACAGACAACTTCTGGTCAAAACTGACCGAATTCCATGAAATTTTAACGTTTGGAAGTTCTGAGCACCCCCATTTCATGAATTACAACTAAAACGATCTTTTCCCAAATTTAATTATTTTCTACTGTACGAAATTCATGGCACATTACCGTAATTCCTGTTTATCCACAAACCGAAATACTACTATCCTAGTCAAAAGTAATAGGAAGGTACTTCAGTGTTATACATTAAACAAAGTATCCATGCAACTGTAACTTATCTGGATTGAAAGAAAACAGCAAAATAGTGTAATAACCAAAGATTGTTGAAATGAATCTATCATAAAGTCCAATTTAGAAATCTAATCTGGAAGGCTATAAATGACACTATGAAGGTAAAACTTTTGGCATACATTTTTAGGATAATGGAGCTATTAAAGGGCAAAAGATTCCCAATTTTATACATTTGTATTTTATTTATTTAGTAAATTATTATCTTATCTTATCTTATCTTATCTTATCTTATAAATACTCTTTTTAAGTGCCAGGTTGAAACCAGTAATGACAGCTGCAGTATATTAATGGCTTCCATGTCATGCCTGTCAACCTGCCATTTCATACCTAATGGGAAACAATGTTTATGCATGCATGTACTAGTGTATTACACCCCATTTCCATAGATTTTTAGATCGATCTATCCCTGTGGGGAGTCTCACTAGATTACTGTCAGCTTGGCCGGCTTAAGCGTCTGTCCTGCCTACTAAAAGCTGTAAGGGGGTAATTAACTATGGTGCCCGCTCGGCTGACTGCAATTTAGCGTGAACCCCCAGGGAGTTAGGTCGATCTAAATCTTAATCTTTAGATCGATCTAAATCTCTGGGAAAGCACCCTAAGTCAGAGAAGCTAACCCTGAGTTACATGCATCCTAACATGCACCTTACCATCTTACATTGGAGAAATAACAGAAATTGACTTAAACGATTTTACTGTACTTGGTAAGTTTTCAACAAAATGTGGCAAGTGCAATAATATGTTTAAGTGGCCAACAACAAAAGATGAAATCTGGATAAGTTTTGAAAAGATTATCCAGAAACTACCTGATCCACCCTACTCTTCTCGAAAGAGCAAATGATGTTTTACAACACCACCAGACATTTTGAACGGTTTAAATGATCGCATAATTTAGACTACTGTTTTACCTAACCTCTGTTGCTAAGATAATAAAATAAACTCTTTTTCTGGTAAAATATGGAATGTAAATTCTACAGACGTAGGAATCAACATATTAGTAATGAAATGTATCCAGTAGTGGTAAAGGTATGTATGTGGTCCTTGAAAAGCAAAACACCAATTGTAACCATTTACCATTTGTTGATTTGAATAAATGTTTTATTAATTTTGCTTTCTTATCGTGTGACATTTGTCATATCTGTAATACTACGAATCCCGAATTCAGCTTCTAAAGTTTACTTTTAACTTAAAAAAATTACAAGGCAGCAAAGCTGTCAAATGTACAGACAAAAAGCAGGAAATAACTATACACAAAATAGGCTTCTGTCAATTCTGATGCAAAAGTACATTATGTTAAACTGCAAATTCAACATCAAATTTTAATTATGCTCAACAGGTAATACCAATGTAAGTAAAACGTGTAACAAGCATAAGGCTTCAGGCCCATGGGAGTTCAAGTTCACACTTTGAAAATGTATAACTTCCAGAAAAAGAAGCCAATTAGACTACTTTTCCAACTTAGGTTGCATTTTAGTCCTGCATTTCTTTTTTGAACATTTGGCAATCATAAGTAACAT